ATTTTGAATAAAATTTGATTATTGTAGACTTACTCCTATATAACTATTTAGTTCAATATTTTAAAACCTAATTTCCCTTGTTTATCCTTGAGTCAGATAATCAAGTAATCGAATAACTAGGTCAATTATTAACCTCTATAGTGTATACGTTGCATTCACCTAATTGCCATTTTGCCATCTCGCCATTTTTCATAGCCAGTCATCACTAACGCCACCGCCACGCCACAGCCACGGTCAATGTCACGACCATTACCATGACTTTTGTCATTTTACTTTGAGCCACAGTCCCTTTTCATAGAACATCCAAACCACGACTTCAACATCTTCGTATAATTTCGTATGTAGCAACTTGATCACCGAGACATCAAATTATCACGATTCGTGCATATTTATGTTCTATCCGCCCTTTGTTGTCAACCATTGGGTGAGTAATTTCTAGCTAGAAAATTAAGTCCTTATTACTATTGCTATTGAAATATATAGTATTGTTATATTATTATTATTATTATATTATTATTATTATTATATTATTATTATTATTATTATTATTATTATTATTATTATTATATTATTATTTTGGGGCCCCAGCCACATTACAGCATTGTCTGTTTATTTAGCATATATTTATTTATATTCGGCAAGTCCGATTTATTATATTGTGGCATATTTTTACTTAAATTCGGCAAAGTCCCACTTAGTTCATTGGAACATTATTATATATTATTTTATTCGGTATAACCGATTTTGTGGCATATTTTTATTACTATTATTTTCGGTAAATCCGATAATTTGATTTTGGCATATATTTTATTATTATTAAGTCCGTTAATTAATTTAATTTGTGGCATATATATATATATTTTATTATTATTTTCGGCCAGTCCGATGCATTACGTTATGGCATATTTGAATTATTTTATTTGAAAATTATGGCTTACTTATAATGTTAATTTTAATTAACTATTTACTTTGATACTTATGGCTTATTATTATTATTCCGTTCGACTAGATCGACATATTTTTATAATGGCATAATTTTATTCTAATTAACAAACAATGTTATAACATAACATTTATTATTTCGATCGGCTTAGCCCGACTTCCCTTTATTTATTATATATTATGAAATTACTTCTATTCGATACTATAAGGTAATATAAAATGCACGATACACGAGGTTTAAGAAAATTTACTTCTAAATAATCTATTTGAAAAAGTAATAGTATCGGATTTTATAAAATTGGGTTTAAAAGAATATTTGTGGCAAATGAAACCCTTGGTTATTATTATTAAATTTAAAAAATTATTTTATTGTGGTACTTACCAAACATGATTTCCAATATAACATTCCAGGCATCTTCAGTACAAATAGGTCAAACATAAAATGAACAACACTATACAGTCAACGGTCGCCACATCCCCACATAATCCCCTATAATCTTAGCTATAATCTTACGTGACAAATTTGAATAACGGACTCTATTCATATGTTTACAACAATAAATCCCTTTGTATAACATATTATGACCTTATTGAATAGCCATTACTTATATAACTACAATTTATACTAATAGAGCGAGCCAGCTAATATTATTAAATAAATTATTTCTTTATAAAATCAATTCGACATGCACGTTTAATATATACAAGTTAACTAAGTTGTTACAGCAGCAAAATCGTGGTCTTTTAAACAGCCGTTATTACGGCTACCCTTATTATAGTATAACTTTTATAAAATAATCGTCCCGCAACTAAGGCGCAAGTCAGCCTCATTCAGAATACCCTATTGTGTTTATTTCTTTTTTTTTTTATATAATAAATGGACACTGAATTTTATGAGATGGTCACTGTGTTTCGCATTTATTTTATTGTATACAATTAGTTCTATTATCGAGCATGCTTAACTTAATTTAAGAGACCTATTGTAAATGTATGCAAGTTTTTGACAACGTTTTGGCTACATACATTAGGTTAACTTAGCTTATTATTTTTATTGTCATAAATAACATTAAATTATTATTATTTTTTAATTCATGAACATTTATCATTTATTGTGCATGCATTGCTTATAATTGTATTCGGTACCCCAACATCCCCTTTTAATTATTAAATTTTTTTTTAATAATAAGCGTTAGTGTTCTGAACAGACCTCGAGAACACGGAGAATACTCTTTGGGGCCCCGAGACTATTCAAGAAGTCGACGACAGGGCCGGGCTTTTCATAGGAACCGCTTGGTAGCCGACTATTGAGAGCCCACACGAAGGAAGCTCCTCCAACGCTCAAAAGCTTGTGAATTAAGGAGTGTGGACATCAAAAACCCAGAGGTTCTTATTACGACACTAATGTCCCTCCAAATTTTTTTTTATTTTAAAAAATTTTTTCTTTTCCTACATAGCACCATTTTACCAAAGTTATTTTGTTATAAGGTCTAGGGTCAGACCTTAAGTGTAGGGGGAGCAACTGATACGATCACATTTGCATGTGCCCATATCTCTGTCTCCCATAACATCGTTGTACCGTTTAATATACATATATATATATATATAATTAACACAGTGACATACAACAATACTAACAGGAGGGCGGACTGCACACATCAACACTTTTTGCAATTCACAGCCAATGTGCCATAATAAGATATCCCTATCAACAGTTGACCTTTTACCATCTTCGCGATCACTACTTGTCTAATAATTAACTTAACTTGCTACCCCGTATATTATAGTGTGTGTGTGTGTCGCCGTCAGCTCCCTGTTGGATTATATCATCTCTAGGTGTCCAGCAGGTTGTATTATCTATTTAATATTTTAATTGTTTAATAAATATTTATTTATATCGTTGTTAACCTAAAGTGTTATATATATATATTGTAGTGCGACCCTTGGTAGTTCCTCTAAGGGAATATAAATTAAATAGGAAACTTCAGTACCTAAGGTAGATATAGCCTAGCTAGTTATCCCCCATTAGTCCCTTAGAATACTGTTGACGGGCATTTAGGCTAAACCCCTAAATAGCGACGTAACAGATTTAATTAATTTTTGTGTTAAATTTTTATATTATATTTGACTTTGTGTTTAATACATTTCGTAAATAAAATAACTATTTAAAAATCTGGGCTTAGCGCAAATATTTTATATTCACCGTGTTCTTGGAATTTTTGTGTGTTTGTGCGGCTAGAGTCTAGGTTGTATTGCTGGTCCTTTAGTCAATCTTAATAATTAGTGTACGAGCTGGCTAGTGTTTGGGCTTACCCTCCTTCAGTGGGTATAGTAAAAAGGTAGTTGTGCTGGTGGCTGACAAGGAGCCACCCTTCAGTCTGCTACTTTTGAGCTAGACTGTGCTGACGGATCTAAACTCTACCCCTTTAGTAGTCCACTAATTAGAGAGATTGGGGCTGATCAGTTTATCCAACGGGAGGACTCGAGAAGAGCTCGAACGACGAACTCGTCGTCAATATATATATATATAAAACATTAATAAACTTGTGTTAAACTTTTGTGTCTAAGTTGGGGCACTACCGACGTACGACAATACATAAGATTTAATATAGAAATACTATTATCAGTAGAAAGGNAGACATAAAATTGGCGCCCAACTCGAGGTTCGTACCGACACGACCCCTCGAAGTTTTTTTTCGTGGCATCGAAATTTGTGTGTGTGTGTAATTTCGCGTCAATAAGTTGAACCGTCGATCACTACAATACAAGGATTACTTGAAATATTTAACCGGAAGACCCGAGGTTAGTGCAAAATATATTTATATATAATAATTTTATTTAGTTATTAAGTTTAGTAATTTAAAAATCTCCTCAGAGAAAAAATTTTTTTGTGTGTGTATGTATAATTTCTCATATGTCTATAGTATGAGTAATATTTAGGACATAGAGGAGAAATTAAAAGAAATTTTTGAGGATAATACTAATTCAGAATTAGATACATTTGCTTTCGACATAATATTTTCTGACCAGGAACTCATTAATATTTTAGACGACGGTATATCACAATTGACTGACCTATTTAATGAACTGACCACAAAAACAAAAAACCATTTACACATTTTTAAAAGATCTAAGTTTTAATTTAATTTTATAATTATACAAATTTTTTTTATATAAACATCATTTCTTTTTTTTAATAATAAAAAAGAGAAAAAAAAAAGTTCAATAAATTAAATAAAAATTAATTTCGACTTTCTAGAATATTAATTTGATTACTTAATTATTATGATTTATTATGAATATTAATGAAATTCAAAAATTTAAATTAAACAAAATTAGTGATATATATTCATTAAAAAAAGATGATCTTATAAATTTGTGTAAAAGTAAAAACTTAGACGAATTAGGAAACGTAAATGACTTAAGAACACGTTTAGCTAGATACTTTAGAGCGCAACTTAAATTGTCAGATATAAAACCTAACTTAAGTCCAGCTGAAATTGAGCAAGTTATTCATGCCTCTTCTAATGATAAACTAATAATCGTAGAGAGTAACGTAGAAACAAGTGTAGAAGATAAATTTGAAAGTATAAGTGAAAAGTTATCAGACATCCTTATTGAAGAAAAATATCATTCTTACGCGAATACTAGCGATATTACAAAACCGGGTCATTTTTATAATAATATTAATAACGCTTCGTCGGATGATCAAAATAAATTAGAGGGTTCAGGTAAAGAACATTTTTATGAAGATATAGACGATTTAAATAGAACCTTTATAGAAGAACAAACACCGGGTAATCGTAATAACTTAACAGAGGGAAAAATTCTAGACTTACTTTCATTAACTAATTGCATAGAAACAATAAATTCAAATATTACAAGTATGGAGTCTAATAAAAATGGTTGATGAAACCAGATTATTTTTCGGATACTGAGGACGTAAGAAAATTTTTCAGACAGTATGAAAAGACAAGTGAAATTAATAGATGGAATGAGAGTGATAAAATAAAACATAAAATAAACTGGAAAAACGTAGGCAGGAAGAGTCAGAGTCAGTTATGAGTTATGTATCAGAAATTGAAAACTTATGTAGACAGTTAAATAAACAAATGAGTGAAGAAGATATATGTACTTATATTTTAAGAGGACTAAAAGAATCAGTATTGCATGCTATTTCGTTACATGATAATAGTAGTTTGAAAAATTTAAAAGATAACTTGAAAAAGTTTGAGTTAATGCAGTTTAGAATAAACAATAGAGGAGCCGCTGGTATCAGTGAATACACAGGCATTATAAATAGACAGGTATCTCAACTAGATAAATATTCAAAAGAAAGAGAACTTGAGGTTGTAATGTTGCAGAATTTATACGAGTTTTTTTTTTAATAAATCTTATCAGTTAATAGTGTGTGCATTAGGTATTATGTATGTCCCCAATTATAAAATTAGGTTATATACCAGTCAACCGATCCAATGGTCAGTACCCGGTTTGTTGCGACAGTTGATCGCACACAGTGCATCCCTACACTTTTGTATTCTCCATATGAACCAGTTCAAAGTTGGCACCCCCACCACCCGGCGACATCATGATCACCGGCCACTATCCAAATGCCGCGACAATGAATTTTTTTTCTCACCTATACTGTCGAGGCGACAACTCGTGTTTTCTTCATATAATTTTTATTTTGAAAACCACGTTTTTTTGTATTTTTTTTGTCCTCCGTTTTTTTTTTATTAAAATAAAACGTCGAGTGGATCTGCTGTCGACTTGTATCAACCAGGCTGTTCATATTTTTTTTGTCTTCCGTTTTTTTATTTAAACAAAACGTCGAGATGATGATGCTAATGATGATAACGATGTGAGACACAACTATGCCCGGTGGTGGGCCGGCACTCCTCAAAATCAAAAACAACAATAAGTACAACGTCAATAAACCCCCCTTTTTAATTTGTGTATCAAGCACCTCCTTTTTTTTTTCTTTCTTCTTTCATATGAATATATTTATATCTAAAATAGTAATTATAATTTTTTTAATTAAATAATTAAAAAAATGTTGTTATATTATACATGGCCTCTTTTTTTTTTCTCCATACTTTTCCCTCATTTTTATTAATATTGGTTTTTTTTTGTTTTTATCAAAACCTAGTAGCTCCGTCAAAGAGTACTATCTTGTTTGGCGCGGCTACTAGGTCACTGTCCAGTGTTTCCCCTGGGCAGTGGGTAATTAGTAGGCCCTCTGTTTTGGCTGAAACCTTACAAGGTTCAAGATTTAAGGAGACAGTTAGATAGAAGAGATAGGGACTATAAAAGAGAAATAGAACGACTTAGCGATGAGATAAAAAATATTCAAGTTTTAGGTAATAATTCTAACAGGTCAGTATATTTTGAAGATTGTAAAAATAATAGTTATAGTAAGTATAACAGAGACAAGAGCTATGAGCGAAATAGAGAATACGCAGACTATAGACCTAATTATAGAGACAAAAGCCCATACCCTAGAAAGAATTACGGTAGTAGAGAACCAAGTTTAGAAAGAAGGTACGATAGATACAGTAGAGATAGATCATTTTCTAAGGAAAGAAATGATAGTAACAAGAAATTCAGAGATTTTAGTAATGATAGAAATGAGTACAATCGCTATTCTAAACGTGAGGACTACGATAGACAGTCTTATAGATCACCATATAATAGAGATAACAGCAGAGAGAGACGGTCAAGGTCTAGAACACCAGAATTTCGTAGGTATGAAAATAACGATCAAATGATTGGTTTACGTAAGGTCACTTGTTTTAAGTGTAAAGAGGTAGGTCATTATGCCGACAAGTGTACCGTTCAAAAAAACGTATAAGGTCCGAGTCAAATAAAAATCCCGAATATTTGACTCGGAATAATTGTAAATATAATGAGAGTAAAGAATTTTTAAGTATAATAAATAAAGAGAAGTCAGATTATATAAAATTTGTAGAGAGTTGGTATAGTAATGAAGATATCTATAGAATAAAAAAATATATTAGTGGAAAAAAAAAGGAAGTCAGCGATATTACATACCTTAAAAAAAAATTAGAAGCCGAAAGAGAACGTAGAGTTTTATCAATGGAAGTCGAATTCAATGGTTTTAAAAGGTTTGCAATTTTAGATACAGGTTCTAATATTTCGTGTGTTGATTTAACATTAATTGATGATGTAAAACTTATTAAACCTAAAGATAGAGTAATTATTACGGGAGCTGATAATACGGAGTTAGAACAGTTAGGAAGAATAGACTTAGAACTAAAAATAAATAATTATTCATATTTTATTAATGCATATGTAATTGTAGGGCTTAATTGTAAATTATTATTGGGTAACGATTTTAATATTGACAATCAATTAATTATTAATTTTAAAACTAAAGAAATAGAATTTAGTAAACAAAATAATTCAATTAAAATGGACGAAATTTGGTATAATTACAATAAAACATGTAATATTAATGAAAATAAAAATTCAGAATGTATAGCTAGTCTTAACCTTAAGGAAAAGGGTACAAACAAACTAATTTCTTCTCATAATGTAACAATAGCACCCAAAACCAGAAGGCAAGTAAAGATTAATGTGACGCGAGAAAATAAAACNACAGATTTGGATGTTATAAAACCATCGGAACGCTTAGGTAGAGAGAAAGGCTTGACACTAGAAACTAAAATATTACAAAAAGTGAATGAGGTCACTGTTTACAATTTTTCAAATCGACATAGTACTNGTAATAGTACTATACATGAAGGTTTTATTATGGGAGAATTACTCGCGAACGAAACAGAAGCTACGTCAGCATTTAAGAATTATAACATTTTAAATACAAACGGTATCGTTTTAGACGACGACGTGAGAGACGATCAGGGTAGAATTATTAAAATATCTAACCATTTAAATCGTTTTCAGCGCAAACAAGCAAAAATATTAATTACGCGTTTTAAACATTTATTTACATCAGATCCACTTAAAATAGGCTGCGCTAATGTTGAACCGTGCGAAATAAGGTTAAAATCAGACAAACCAATTTTTCAACCGCCATATCGTGTGTCCCCTTCTCAACGAGAAAAATTAAAAACTATAATTGACGAAATGATAAAATCTGATATTATTGAGCCGAGCAGAAGTAATTACGCGGCGGCAGTATTTTTAACACCAAAAGGAAATACGGGAGAGTATAGATTTCTAGTAGACTATAGGAAATTAAATGAACAAGCTATTAGTGATAAATACCCAATTCCAAGGTCACAAGATCTTTTTAGGAGTCTTGAGGGAGCTAAATATTTTTCTAACTTTGACTTAACACAAAGTTATTTTCAGTGTCCTATAAAAGAAGAAGACAGGTACAAAACTGGTTTTATTACAGATTTCAGACATTATCAATTCAAAAGAATTCCCCAAGGTTTTAAAAATTCAGGACCAATTTTTCAAAGAATAATAAATAATGTTTTTAGTGATTACCTTTATAGAACAATAATTGTTTACTTAGATGATATATGTTGTTTTGGTGGGGATTTTGAAGAAGCTTTGTCAAGATTAGAACAAGTTTTTGTTAGGCTTGACGAGGCAAACTTTAAACTTAAAACAAATAAATGTTCATTTTTTAGTTCGGAAATAGAGTTATTAGGACACAANACAAATGTTCATTTTTTAGTTCAGAAATAGAGTTATTAGGACACAAAATTTCTGAAAGAGGTATTACGCCATTAGAAAAAAATATTGAATCAATAAAAAAATTTCCGATACCACATAAAATAAACGATGTCAGAGCTTTTGTCGGTTTAACGAGCTATTACAGGAAATTTATTAAAAACTTCGCAAAAATTTCCAGTCCATTAACGGACTTAACAAAAAAAGATAAAATATTTGTTTGGCAGGATAACCACCAGGAGGCTTTTGATATTTTAAAACAAGCTATAATTACAACACCAGTACTAACTCATTTTAACGATGATTATCCTGTGTTTGTAACGACAGACGCATCTTTAAAGGGGCTCTCAGGGATATTAGAACAAGAAGGCCCTGATGGTAAAAATCACCCAATAGCTTTCGCATCTCGCAAACTTAAAGGCGGCGAGAAAAATTTCTCAACAACCGAACTCGAAATGTCAGCTGTAGTTTATGCTTTAAACTATTTCAGAGAATTTCTCGTAGGTAGGAAAACCGTAGTTTATAGTGACCACTCCAGCCTTCAATTTTACAAAACAATGAAAAATCCTTCATCAAGAGTAACTAAGTTTATATTTAAATTACTTGAATTCGATTTAGAAATTAAACACAAACCCGGATCTTGGAACAAAGCAGCAGATTGTTTATCGCGTTACCGATAGACACTTTAAAAATCACTGATATTCTAGAAAACGAAAATAATGATAACATTAACTTTGACACTTTAAATCTTGACTTAATTAAAGAGGAACAATTAAAAGATGAATTTTGTGGGGGAATAATTTCAGCAATTAAAGGGGAAAATGACTCAAAATACAAAAGAAAATCTAGAAAGTATTGTTTTAAAAATGAATTATTATTTTTCAAAGAGTGGTCAACCAAAGGAATAAAGAATTTATTAGTAATACCAAAAACTTTAGTTAATGTTGTATTAAAATCGTATCACGAGTCAGTTCTTTCCGGACATTTCGGCATTAGTAAAACCTTACTCCGATTAAAAACCAAATATTACTGGCCGACTATGATACAGGACACAACTAAATTCATTAANAACTATGATACAGGATACAACTAAATTCATTAAATCTTGTATGTCTTGTCAGCTTATTAAAAACCCTACTGGTAAAAAACCCGGACTAATACAACCTATTCAGTTAGAATCAACAAAACCTATTTCTCGTCTTTGCTTCGATTATCTAGGTGCGTTACCTATATCTAAAGGGAAAAAATATTTGATCGTAGCGACTTGCAGTTCGACAAAAATGGCTTTTGCAATGGCAGTAGTTAATGCCGATGGAGCAACCACAATAGACTTTTTAATGGATATAATAACATCTTATGGTACCCCCTCCATTTTTGTTAGCGACAGATGGACTCCATTTAGGAATAAGGAAGTAGAATTAGTGTGTGAAAAACTAGGAATAAAACAAAGTTTTAGTTCAGCATACCACCCCCAAAGTAATGGGAGTACAGAGTTGATGAATAAAATAATATGCAATAGTTTAACGCACTATGTAAATAACAACCAAAAGAATTGGGCATTATATTATAAAATGGTAGNAAATTGGGTGTTATATTATAAAGTGGTAGTGTTCGCGTATAACACTTGTCCACATTCTAGGTTAGGATATTCACCATATCATCTTATGTTTGGAGTAGAAGCTACTCAGCCGTTAGATAATAAAATTTGGCCCGAAGAATTGAACTTTAACAGGTTAGAGTCCTTAAAACAGTTACAATCTATAAGAGATGAAATTCCTAAATTAGTAGAAATAGAGCAAAACAAACAAAAACAATACTATGATAAGACTCATAAAACTGTAAATTATTTACCTGGACAAAAAGTCTTTGTCAAGTTTAATTTTCAAACACCAGGTAATTCAAAAAAGTTAGCTTATAAATACAGGGGACCTTTTAAAATAATAGAAAAGAAATCTGATGTAAATTATAAAGTAGCTTTAATTCTAAATGGTAAAGAGGTCATTAACACAGTACATGTACAAAGACTCAAACCTTGTCATGAACGCGATACAGATAACAAAGAATAAAAAATTAATTATAAGCATTTATACCTTATTGTAAATATTTAAAATTCGGTTTAATTTATAAAAAAAAAATATTTTTAATTGTAATGCATAATAATAATATTGCAGTAAATAAAAGGGGAAATGGTCGATTAATATAACATTAATTTAAGCTAATAAATTTTATCTTTTTCAGGTAAAACTCATAAAACTAACTCGTAATTTTGACTGACTTCTTGATATTTTTACTACAACTTTTTACAATATGGATAGGAATTACAAATTTGATATTATAGATTTTGAATTTGGAATGTTTAGGAGACATGACATTGTCTTAGTAAGTGGGGCCATATCGGGTAGTTTAGACAAATATCAAGTAATGAAATTAGAAGGGACACCATTAATATTGGGTAAAAAATACACTCAACTATTAACGAAAAGTCTCTGGTCGCCTTTTGTAAGTGGGGTATTGAAAATATTCGAAGGAAAAGAAGAAAAGGCCTACCCTCTCTTAGCAGAACTACACGACAGCCAATTCGCAATAACTGACACACTTAACCACGATTTCATTCACAGAACAATTTTTAACAATTCAGAAATTCCAGTAATAATAGTTTTTGGGGGAAATACGGACGGTGAAATTTTAAAAAGACTTAACATAGAGGTTAAAATTCTTAACATTTCTGCAACGGAAGATAAAGATAATAAAAAAACATTTTATCTAACATTAACAAATCTAAAAACAAGGGAACTTTATTTTAAACAGACATTATGGTAACATGTTAAGCTTAGGGGAAACGCATTTCTTTATTTGTGGAAACAAACATGGGGTACAAAACTATCACGACCCAAGGTATGACGTAAGAATAACTAAGTGCATTTTCGACCATATTGTGAAAAGATTGAAAATTAATAACCTCATAGGGTTACTATAACTATTTCTCAAACACTTAACAGAAAATGGCACAACCCGCCAACGTGAGATATTTGACATCTGAATAAAAACAAGAAATCGAAAAAAGCTTATACAACTCAACAAAACCCAAGAGGAAATGGCCCACTCACAAGCAAAGAAATCAGACAAAAAAATTAGCAAAACAAGTGGAAAGACTATTGTGCGAACTAGAAGATAACCAGAAAAAACAAGAAGCTATTCAAAAAAGTATAGAAATAATAACAGTAATCAACAATGAAACAGATATGTAAAAAAAAAAAAAAATGTATAATAATTATGTATTTTGATTAAGGGAATAATTAGATATAGAAATTTAAAGGGAAATAGAGTTAAGTAGTGTTAAAAACATTGGGATATAAACTTTATTATTATTTTATTTATTTTTGGGGAAAAAAAAATTAACTTTGGTACAACACACAAACTAATTCTCATTCCAAAAAAAAAAAAATAAATGGAAAGATCCTTATAAAAAAGTATGCTGCTAAGTACAGCATATATATATATATTTTTTTTTTATATATATTATATATAAAAAAATAAAAAACAACAAACAAAAATTATACATAAGAAGTACAAAAAAAAAAGAAAAGAAAAAAAAAATAAGAAGAAACAAAACAAATATCATAATAAAAAAAATATATATAAAAAATATTGATATGATGTGATCACTTCTAAAAGAAAATTGACACAAAATATATTAACCTTTCTTTTTTCTTTTCATTCATTTAGTGTTGTAAATAACCAAAGTTAATTTTCCAAAAATATGAGGGCATATTTTTTTTGTAACATAGGGGAGTGTAGTAATTAGATGAGGAAGTATTGAATTACGTCGATTTTAGTATAATATAAGCTTTACAATAGTAGTAAGCAATTTTTGAACTCTTAAGCAATATAATAATTCCATATAAAAGGGAAATGCAGGGTAAGCAAATTAATAATGATGGGAAAAAGAATTTAAAAGGGAAACATGAAAAGTATAAGACGATACTGGGCGAGACGAGACTGGACGTTTTGTCGAAGAAACGTCGAGTTACGGGTTAGGTCGTTGGTGTAAGAATAACTTTATATTTTTGTAAGATTTAATTAATTTTTGTGTTAAATTTTTATATTATATTTGACTTTGTGTTTAATACATTTCGTAAATAAAATAACTATTTAAAAATCTGGGCTTAGCGCAAATATTTTATATTCACCGTGTTCTTGGAATTTTTGTGTGTTTGTGCGGCTAGAGTCTAGGTTGTATTGCTGGTCCTTTAGTCAATCTTAATAATTAGTGTACGAGCTGGCTAGTGTTTGGGCTTACCCTCCTTCAGTGGGTATAGTAAAAAGGTAGTTGTGCTGGTGGCTGACAAGGAGCCACCCTTCAGTCTGCTACTTTTGAGCTAGACTGTGCTGACGGATCTAAACTCTACCCCTTTAGTAGTCCACTAATTAGAGAGATTGGGGCTGATCAGTTTATCCAACGAGAGGACTCGAGAAGAGCTCGAACGACGAACTCGTCGTCAATATATATATATAAAACATTAATAAATTTGTGTTAAACTTTTGTGTCTACGTTGGGGCACTACCGACGTACGACATATTATAAAGTTAAAAATATAAAAAAAAATTTTTTTACAAAAATCGTATTTTTTTTATTAACTTTAATATAAAATAGATAAAATAAAGTCCGAAATTTTTTTTTTACCATAATAAAGTATATTATATTAGTTTTAATATAAAAATGTAACATATTTATAAAAGGGTCAGACTTTCTGGAACATTTTCAAAAGTCAAGTTGAAAAAATTTTATGTCAAAAAGTTACCATTTTGAAACCCCTTTCTGTGGGCTTGTCAAGGGTCACATATAAAAAAAAATATACCAAATAAAAGGTAATGATATCATGCATCTATATAAAAAAAATTATATTGATATGTTCATTTTTAAAAATGTTACAGCAGTTTTTAGTAAAAAAAATTGAAAAAATTTCGAAAATTAGTGATTTTTAAATTTGTAATTTTTTTAGAGGTTTCGCCTATTTACGGGGAACGAACGAAATTTTTTCAATTTTTGAGGGTAATGTCTTCGACTAGATACGATTTGTGATATTTTGACGTATCATTGAAAGAAATTGGTTCGGTGAGAGCTGAGAAAAAGTGGTAATAGACATTTTATCTAACATTAACAAATCTAAAAACAAGGGAACTTTATTTTAAGCAGATGTTAAGGATATGTTATAAAAATGGTAACATGTTAAGCCTAGGGGAAACGCATTTCTTTATTTGTGGAAACAAACATGGGGTACAAAACTATCACGACCCAAGGTATGACGTAAGAATAACTAAGTGCATTTTTGACAATATTGAAAATTAAAAACCTCGTAGGATTNATAGTTAACACCAGATTTATTTATTTGACTACAGTTAATACTTACAATAACATATAGCAAAAGAGATTAATTAATATATTTACAACAAAAATTATTTTAAAAAAATACACATTAACTTTTTTTCATACAAAATTACACAGATAATTAGAATAATAATTTTTAACAAAGCCATAATATTAGTATATTTTAATTAATAATTACTTGAAAATTATTTTTATTGCTTAACATAATATAATTTATTCATAAATTAACTAAAAAAATATCCTTATGTAAATATATGCAATACAGCAAATCAAGATTCTTTCTTTAGGTATTGTTGATAAATTTGTAAAGCTATATTTCGATTAAAATAAGTAACACAAGCTGTTTGATATTTTTCATTTAACCACTTAAACTCCTATGTGAAAAAATATTTGCAATATATTGAAACAAATTATTGAATAACTGATATATAGATAATATATTAAACAAAACTTTTAAATAAAATTAGAAAAATAAATAATAAAATTTAGATTTTATTTATATTGCTTATAACTACCATAAATATGTGATTTAATTATTTGATATATGTGACATTTAAATAAGTAAGGTACTAATTCATAAGTGTAAAAAATATATTTCCATTTAATAGTAAATTTTTGTACTCATTTTTAGATCATTTTTGATAAAAAGATATTCAAATATTAAAAGAATTACTAATAGAATACAACAAAATCCAATGTTTATAAATAATGATCTTTGAAAATAATGTTAATAATAATAAGTATACATATTAAACATTCAAAATACTATTGTTCAAATATTAAAAAGAGAAAATAAATATACTTATTTAAATAAATTAAAAATGAACTAAATATCTATTGTAACATTTATGACCTACCTAAGCAAAATTAGAATTGATATACTTTATACAAAATTTCAGCGTTTTTCTCACATTTAGTTCCTAAGGATGTTACTCACAGTAAATACAAATAACTAGAGGTTATTAACACTAATAACAATTGGATTAGAATAAACATAATCATTATTTAAAATGATCAGTAAAAAGACAATCTGTGATAATATTTAATTATTTGTGAAATTGATAATAAATTTTCCCTTATTATTTGATTTAATATAATGTTCTATAATTTCAGTGTAAAATAGGTTAAAAAAAAAAATTTTTACTTAGGCACAATAAAATGCAAAAAATGTTGAAATACTGTTATTTGAGCATTTTATAAGATTAACTACGGTCACATACAACAAATTTTAATTATTTTAACTAATGAAATTACTTTGATTCTCATTTCATGTTTTTCCATAATTCCTGTTATCTCTCCAATTGACATGGATCTTAACACTCTAATTATTACTGAACAATCACTTAAAGTATCGGATATTAAATTCTATAATAAATCAATTTTCACATGAAATTTATGTTTTCAGCAAAACATATTTAAATACCAATTATATTGTTAAGGTATATGGTCTATTGTTTTAATAGAAATGTGTTATGTGTGTATAAATAAATATTCATTTCTGTTTTTGAAATTTTAATTAGTAAAATACCTGAGTCATTTCAGCACAGTCATTTCTATCTTCAGTTTTTATGATATTTATAAGTGGAATTTCTTCCATTACTTCATTAACAGTTGGAATTTCATCCTTTACTTCACTTTTCATTAAGATTTTAACTGTCTTTTCCTTTGGTCGTAATTCACCCTAATCAAAATAAATTTTTATTAATAAATTAATAAAAATAATTAACATATTAATAACTAATGTAAAAAAAAATCTATATTAACATACTTCTTCAATTTCTTTTATTAATTCAGTTTTAATACACGGTGAAGTATTTTTAAAAAGTGATTTTGTTGACATTTCAACTGAAAATTTAAAGTCAATCTGAGTTATAAATGTTTAACTAAAATAACTTAAGAAAATAACTAAAAAAAATTCATTATATATTTAACATATAATATTACATGATAATTGTTACATGTATTAATTGTTTTTAACTAATAGAAAACATAATAGATAGTAATAAAATACACATTAATATATTTAAAAAATTGACCATAATCGTAAACTGAAACCTTATAGATGCTTAGTTCTTAATTTTTTTTTTTTTTTTGAAATATGATACACGTTTTAAAATAAAAAAAATTAAGTCCTCCACTAATTTTTTCATAAATTTTTGAAAATTACTGTAACAACAAAAAAAAATTTAAAAAACACAATATTACCATTTATATTTGAATTTTGTAAATTATTTGTAGGATCATTTGGTTGAGATGAGTAGTTAATTAAAGATGGATTAACTATTAATGATAAAGGTTTATCTTTATAAGCTTGTGATGTTGACAAGAAATCATTTTGATAGTGATTTCTCAAGTATGAATGAGTTTGGGTAATACTAGGACCAAAAGAAGTTTTTTGAAATGTCAGATTGCTATCTTGATATTGGTTATGAAAGTTATTGTTTATAAATGGTATATATCCACTAGAATACTGTGGTACTAGATGATTTCTTAAAGATGATAATGTCTTATGACTTTCATAAAATGATGAGATTTTATTACTCGACCTAGTATTTTGATTTTTGTATAATAGAAAATTTGTTTTTTTCTGATTTAATGTTTGATGATTAAGAAATTCAAATTGACCAGAAAAGTTCTTGACACCTCTTTGATGATTGAAGAATTCTTTATGTTGTTGCTAAAATTTGAATAATAACTTCAATAATAATAATAAAAAAATTATCAATTATTTATTAATGTTGTATAATGATCCAATTTTATTTTTTTTTGTAAATTATTTCCTCAGTTATATAGGTAAGAAATATAGTAAATACTAAAAATCTTATTGTAATTCCACAAAATATTAGTATCTACATAAAGCATGAAACTATCATGGAATTATAAGCAGTTTAAATTTTGTTTAGTTTTCTTTCAAGGATCGCAAATTTGTACATTTTTTTGTAAAGTGTCAAAATTTTTTTAAACTTTTGGGGATATAAACCAATCTAATCTTACTCCATACTATAACTTCGAAAACAATATATTAGAAATACTTAAGTCAGATAACAAAAATGTTGTACTGGCTGATAGTATGTTCAGAGTAACTTAAGAAAATGTATAAATGTATATAATTCCACATCCAAATCATGAGTGACCTATAAGCTATATAACATATTAAAATTTTTAATTTTACACGATTTTGAATGATTAATTTAACCAAATTTTTGATAATATAATATAAAAAACATAATAGTAGAAACAATAAATAAAAGTAAATTTTATTTAGTGTTCAAAATTTATGGAAATACAAATATATATATATATTTAAAACTAAATGATATTCAAGAACAAAATAATATCAACAATTTTTTTAAANGAAATACTGCCTGTTTAGGCGTTAATAAATAAAATAAAATAATAAAATAAATTATTACTTTGTAATTGGAATATCTGGAATAGTGTGTTGATTTTTTCATATTGAATTTGTAATAGTATCTTCTGCTATTCATTTTTTTAGTATAACCTTAAATTGTAATAAATGTGAATAATAAGAGAAATTTTAGTTAATGTATTTTGTAGAAAAAAAAATTATAATGTATAATTTCAATTTATTAATAATTGATTTAACATTTCAGAAGTAAAGCATCTTTAATTAAAAAAACATTGAAAATCAAAGCAATATACTACCCAATTATTTTATAACAATCTATATGATAAATAATTACAATTCTAAAGAATTTTAGACAAATATTTGAAATTTGAGCGAACAATATACCTTGAAATTCTTTGTAATATTGAGTTCCAATTTGAATGTCATTGTTTGTAACTTTATTGTTATCACAATTGATACTTATAACATTTTCATTTATCTCATCTGATATATTAAAAGAAATTTTCAATAGACAAGACAAAACTTTTATAAAAATAAAATATTACCTTCTGTAATTTCACCTTCTTCCCTATCTTTGGAGAGATCAATATTTCCTTCACATTTGACTGAAATATTATCTTTTGTATCTAATTCACTAAGAGTATATGAAAAAAAAAATGATTTCATTTGACAACTCAATTAAACACTTATCTGATATTTCTGTTTTATCTTTAAACAAAATACCAAAAATAGAAATGGCAAGTATTTCAATTCTAATTCCATATTTTCAATTTCATAATTAAAATCAAAATTAAAAATAATGGCAATGAATGATTATTTAACAATGTCTTTAAATTAAAAATTTCAATTCTTGACCATTTTTTGTGCAATTTATATAGTTAAGGTATTTTAAAAAATACCTAATAGTAATAAATTACTATATATATATATACATAATATTATAAATTGTTTTAACACTAAAAAATGATCATTAAACAATTAAAATTAAAAAAAATAATAAAAACAAACACACCGTTGGTTATTAGGGTTAACAGTTACCATCTAGATTTTTTAATAATCTGCTAAAATTAGTTATCATAGCAATAAATATTAATTAGTTTTTCAAAAGTCGTCAAATTTTTTTTGTGATCTCTTTTAAAAAATTAAAGAAATATAAAAAATTCACCCTTTTTAAAAATGGAATGACTTCTGGAACATAAATTATATAGTTAGGATCCTAAAATGTTTGGATTAGTAATAATGTTGAGTCTAGATGTCTTTTTTATATTTTTATGGGATATCCAATAACATTAACTATTGGAAAAAAAGTCTATAAATTACTTACATAGTAAATTCGTCCATTGCTTCTAATGAATTTTAACTGAAATTTAAAAAAATTAAATTATTTTTGAAATTTCAGTTAATGTAATTAGTTATGAAATTAGATATGATAATTATAATAATAAATCGAACAAATGGTCTATCAACAAAAATAAAATTACTAATTTTTAGAAGTAAAATTTTGATAAATGTTAAGTAAATAGTCACTAAGACATAAATTAACGAGTAAAACTTAAATAATTACTCACTGCAATGGCATAAATTATCCACAATAAGAGTGTTGGAATTTGTTGAAGCGGCTTTATCAATTTTTGATGTTGACCGTAATATTGATTTTGTTTTAACAATTTGTTTTAAGATTCGATGGGAAAATTCTATTTTAATTCTAAAATCGAAAGTCGATAATGAAAATTATTCATTAGATAAGAATAAATCAGTATATAACAGTTATATTCGACATCAGTTACTTTGTCTGGTCAGATTTTTGTAGCTGATGAACATTAGAGTAAAAATGGAGGGAGCTCTTATACAAAATTTTAAATTTAATAGTTTTACTTCATGAAATTGAATAATACAACGTGTTCCTTATGACATTTATAATTAATATTTCATGTCATTCAGTTTGAAGTTTCAGTTAAATAATGCTGCAGTTCCAAGTTTTTGTTATTATTATGTGTTAATGAATTTTTTTAAAGAAATACGATAATTTTTAACATAGACAAGACAATTTCAATATTCTGTAATAGAAAGTAAAAGTTTTTAAAAATGTTATTGCTATGAATATGGCTAAATTAAAAGTAAAAAGAGTAAAAATATATCATTAAGACCAAAAATTACTTTAGGAAATTACCCGGGCATCCATGATAATACTATAAAGAGTAAATTGATTTTATTCAAATGAAAAAAACTTGTTTTTATTTCAAGTGAAATCACGAAGAATATACTCCTATGCACACTTCGTTGCAGCAATTTTACCACCGAACTCATAATTTATAAATTTATTATTAACCCCTTTTCAAAAAATTACAATTATTTTTGCCTAATCCTTCATTGGCAAGGCTTTAAAAGCCAATATAATGATAAAAAAATGAAAGGTAAAGTCATCATGCATCTATATAAAAAAAAATTATACTGATTTGGTCATTTTTGAAAAAGTTATAGCAGTTTTAAGTAAAAAAACCACGCACAGTGGGACGTGGCATAGTTGGGTGCAATTTAAATGATATCTGACAGTGATTAAAATCACTATCATAAAAAACGCTTCGATGCAAATTGGTAGATAGTGTTTAATTTTAATAAATTAATGGATTATTCCAAAAGCTACATGATCTCTTATTTCATTATTTATATTCTGATTACAATTTTTATGATTTATAAGTGTAATATATGAATAAATATATATATATATATATATTAATAATATATAAATATAAATAATACATATCTTAAAAAATTTATTGATACATTCATTTTTCAAAAAAGTATATAACACATAAAGTTAAACATATAAAGTATAAAATCAAGAAATTTCACACAAAAATAGCATTCGGTAGCCATTTTCACTGTGAAGACAAAATATAGTCGAAAATTTTTTCTTTTTCCATAATAAAGCATATTACATAAGCTTTAATTAAATATATATATAAAAGTGTCAAACTTTCCGGAACACATTCAAAAATTAAGTTGAAAAAGTTGTCATTTTCAATCCTCCCTGTGGGCAGGTAATTGTCAGATTTATAAAAAAAATATATCAAATGATAGGTAAAGAAATCATGCATCTATAAAAATAAAAATTATATTGACTTAGTCACTTTTAATAAAGTTATGGCAGTTTTAAATTTAAAAAATTTAGAAAATTAGCGATTTTTAAATTTGAAATTTTTTTGAAGATTTCCCTCATTAACTGGGAACGAGGGAAATTTTTTCAATTTTTGAGGAAAATGACTAGATAGGATTTGTGATCTTTTGACGTAAGTTATGTTGAAAAAGTTAATTTTTTTATCGATTTTTAAATTTATAATTTTTTTGAAGATTTCCCCCATTGACAGGGAATAAATTTTTGATTGTAATGTCTTCGACTAGATAAAATTTGTGATCTTTTGACGTATTGTTCATAATATCGGTCCAATAAGAGCTGAGATTGAGTGGTAACAGACAAAAAAAACGCATCATAGTAAGACCAATACCTTCTCAGCTTCGCATCGAATCTAAAAATTTGTTTTTATATATATACAGAGTGTTCAGTAAATAAGGAAACGAATTTCTATTGTACTCATTGTTTGTAACAATTTAACTGTTTCCTAACTTGCTGAACACTCTGTATATATAATTGATGACACGCACGCGTGTACAGGTATGAAAACCAAATAACTTATACAGGAAAATATTGTTGTCACCGATCGGTGAGCGGGGTGCGGTGTGTTATGTATTAGTGGCTGCACTGTTAAGCAGTTTCTAGATAGTAATCCCTTTCTTTAAGATGTCAATGTAATGTAAAAGAGCACGCTCTTATATTTTTTTTTATTTAACAGCAAATACTTTATTTTATAAAATCATAAGAGTGTGCTCTTTTACATTACATTGACATCTTAAAGAAAGGGATTACTATCTAGAAGCTGCTTAACAGTGCAGTCACTAATATATAACAGGGTGAATGCGTTACGACAGTCTAATCTCAAGGCCATTGACGACGGGATACGCGAGAATAAATAACACGTGGTGCGTGGAGAGTTACAAACAACAAACATACATGTGAAACTAATATAAATGTGTTAATAAAATAAAACACAGTACACATATTATTATATTAAGTGTCGCAGTAGATAAATATAGTTTAAAAAAACTGAAAAACACGCTTTTAAAACATATCGAACAAAAAATTTTTAAATAATTTTAAAATAAACTTAAAACAATAATGAACGAAAAATACTAATATTACTGTGATAAAAGCGTCGGGCGCTCAATAAACGAAAAATATGGCACAAAGCCCCCACGCTTTTTTTCACAATAATACTAGTATTTTTCGTTTATTATTGTTTTAAGCTTATTTTAAAAGTATTTTTAACTTTTTAGTTCGATTTGCTTTAAAAACGGGTTTTTCAGTTTTATTAAACTATATTTATTTTTTACTTTTTATTTTTATTGCTGTGGAAATAAAGATCAAATAATCAAATATTATTTTAAACATTAAATTATTTTAATGATAATTCCAACCCAACTTTAAATTTTATTTAATAATAAAAATATATTGTGAGCTTTTCTTATTGGGTAGCTAGTCATTGATCTTAATGTCTCTGCTTTAACGAGCATCGCGCCGGCGGACATCGCAAAGAAACTTACAAATATATTTTTAGTGTTTAATTTTTGTTTTGGTGATTATTGTGCCGCATCCTTTCACATTGGGCCACCACAATTCCGCCTTGATAAATTTTTTACACAGATATAAATATTTCTGAATTTTGTTTTGGCCAGGCCAGAGGTAAATTTAAGAAATATTGGTTTCGATCTCTCAATAAAATATACTCGTTCAACAGACGTAAAAAAATCAATAAGTAAAAAAAAATAAAATTATATTTATAATAAAATATAGAGTGTTTAGAATCTTTTACAAGTAAGATCAGTCGTAGACTTTGTGTAATTAAATCATTTTATTTAAAATCTTGAATCATTCGTGTAAGTAATTATAAGGACTATATAACGTATAGTTTGAATCGTATACGTAGTGCGTTTAATACCAAAATCAACATTGGATTACTTGAAATATTATTGCATTACACAGGACGTTAGGTAAATACAATTTAACCTATGCTTTCGAATCTCCAACAATCTATTGCGTAATAAACCATTTATAAAATTTAAATTGGAGAATTAATAATTAATAAGAGAGACAATTAATGTGAAAATCATATAATAAATATTAAAGACGAATAATTTAATAATAAAAATCATATAACCAATTATAACTAATTAATATTAAATATAAAATCATAAAACTAATTTTAATAATTAATATAAATATTTTATTTTATTTTTGGTTTATTACACAATGGATATAATTTCTGTATTGTCAGTTAGTGTGTTTATAAACTCACAACAATGTGTCTTGTTACCATTGATAATAAAGGCTATATGCTTGCTAATATCGTCATAAAAAACCAATTAGCTACCTGTATTTGTAATCCCTTATGTATTATACAATGTAATATATGTATATTAACTCAAAAAAATTTGAATCTTTAAATGTTTATATCTAATAATAAACTATAAAAATTTGTTTATATATATATATATAATATTGATGATACGCCCACATGTACGGGTACGAAAACCAAAAATTTTACAGGATTAGTGTTGTCGGCGTGTGCTGAGTAGATTGGGGTTAATGCGTTATGGCAGTCTAGTCTTAAGGTCATAGACGACGGGATACGCGAGAATAATAATACGTGGCGAGTGAAGAATTACAAACACACAACAAACAAACAACATACATGTGAAACTAATATAAGCGGGTTTTTTTAGTTTTTTTAAACAATATTTATATTTCACTTTTTAGTTTCATGTTATGATAGTAGTTACTATCAATATCATGGTTGTAACGGGTAACGGGAAATCAGAGTTTGATTCCGGAGAGGGAATCTGAGAAACGGCTACCACGTCCAAGGAAAGCAGCAGGCGCGCAAATTACCCATTCCCGGTAGTGACGAAAAATGGCGATACGGGAATCATCCTCCGTAATCGGAATGAATACACTCTATATCTTTTAATGAGAATAAAGCGTGTTAATATATAAATTTTAATAGTAATTAGAATATATACGACTTAAGTACGTAAACGTACGAGGTATAGCTGTGTTTTGTGGGCGGGCGGGTCGGGGAACGTTATACTTGAGGTATAAACGGCGGGAGCGGCGGTAGGCATATATAAATATTTATACGTAAGGCGTTTGGCATGCGGTAGATATTGGTCAGATAAACTAAAAATTTGTTTATATACATATATATATAATATTGATGACACGCAGGCGTGTACGGGTACGATAAACAAAAATAAATTTATACAGGAATAGTGTTGTGGAAGTGTGGTGAGCGTGGCGTGGAGTGCGGTGACTGCGTTACGACAGTCTAGTCTCAAGGCCATAGACGACGGGATACGCGAGAATAAATAACATGTGGCGCGTGGAGAGTTATAAACATACTTACATACAAACATACATACAGATGGAACTAATATAAGCGTGTTAATAAATATAGTTTAAAAAAACTAAAAAAACACGCTTTTAAAGCACATCGAACTAAAAAATTAAAAATAATTTTTAAAATAATTATGAACAAAAAATACTATTATTGTGATAAAANAATTTTTAAAATAATTATGAACAAAAAATACTAGTATTATTGTGATAAAAGCGTCGGGCGCTCAATATACGAAAAATATGGCACAAAGCACCCACGCTTTTATCACAATAATACTAGTATTTTTTGTTCATAATTATTTTAAAAATTATTTTTAACTTTTTAGTTCGATGTACTTTAAAAGCGTGTTTTTTTAGTTTTTTAAACTATATTTATTTTTTACTTTTTAGTTTCATGTTATGATAGTAGTTACTATCAATATCATGGTTGTTACGG